TTGAAACAGTCATGTCATCAATTGTTAACCCTACCACGAGAAATGTAGGTTGACATTTTGCTAGTTTTAATAGTTTAAAGAGCTGTGAATTGATTAACTTTATTTGCTTATTTTTCACCGAAATGACATGTATCTCAAAAACAAGCAGCTCTCTGCTTAGTGGACAGATAGTTTACAATTTAACATAAAATGATTTTTTTTTCTTTAGTGGTACCTATACTGTGCCTCTGAGGGAATAAATGGCATATCCAGAGAGTGGAGGACAATGAGATAGTTCTCTTTCAAAAATGCTTCCCAAATATGGAGCACTCCAAATAGTATCTCATCTTGTGTAAATTTTTATAAATCAAAATATGTAATACAAGCTATTTGTAAGAAGACTTCCCCTTTAAAGGGAGCATTAATAACAAACTTTTCTCATAGTAGACGATTTAATGTCTAAACTCTTGGTAGGATTTTAGATGCTGGAGACAAAATGTTCCTTCTTGTTTTGGAGAGAGTTTGAATTGCCAGCCACGGTTCTTCTGGGAGGTGCGCTGGGGGCCGGGACGGGTGCAGGTCTGTCTCTGTAAGCAGAAGTAACCATGTCACTCCTCGAGGAGGAATTTGGTGGAGACTTAGAGGTTGTGAACTTGTATTCTTTTTTAGACTTTTTTAAGCCAAATTATAATCTTAATTAAAGATCACGTTTAGGTCATCTGACTTGAATACACATGACAGCTCAGCGTTTACCAAACCTAACTCCCGCCTGTGGAAGTGGTGTAACGTATTCCGAAAAGCATGAATTAGAGACAGTGGCCCGCGTTAGGGACGGGAAGATATGTCGGTGGGAATGTGGTATCTCCGGCTCTTCGATTTCTCTTTCTATTCGTGTTCTTATGAAGCAGCCCTGTTATCTAACCGGGGTGGTGAGGCTGATCACGCCGAACATGCCGGTGTCACAGAGCCGGCAGGAAGGGACAGTTGCCTGAGAAAGGAAATGGAAGGGGCGCCCACAGTCTAGCACTGGTGGCGGCCCGAAAGCGTGACGCAGAGGCGACGTGGGCGTTAAATCAATGCGAAGGGAAAACAGTTTGGAACAGAGTCGTTAGTTGAGCATAAACCCCAATGTGTTAGAAAGCCGTGTAAACCACGTTAGCACTTCTTTGAGTTCACTCTCAGGGGACACGACTGGTTTCTAAGGCCCAGCTCTGCCCTTCAGCACTGTGTGATCTTGGGAAGGTCACTCAGTCTCTCTGTGTTTCAACTACCCACCTCCCCTCCATGTTGAAAATGGATACTTTTTGGTTTTGTACCAAAAAATCATAGGATCCAGTGCCCCTAGGCATTGTTTTTCTTTTCCCCTATTTTAGCATATAGGATTGTCAGGAGATTAAAATTTTAGCAGAGATGAGAGTTTAGAATGTTTTTGTAATTCATTAAATACTCTCGGAATATAAAACAACAGCCAAAGAGGCTGGAGGAAAGTTCCAGGTGGTACCTTTGTTGCTTTAAGGAAGTTCTCACCGCATCTGGTGGTGCCTTACTACTGCAAGACTAACGTAGTAAATGGGTGTGTATTACTCAGAAGTGGGAGTGATCCAGAAGAGGAACTGGGCACGCACCAGAACAACCCTGTGCAAGCGTCGGAGAGGGTGCTGGTAGGGGAGCTGGACTGGGATCTGGGCTGCAGCTGAGCTCTGCTGCTTAACCAGCTGGGAGGCACAGGGCAGGTCACTGGACTTCTCCGAGCCTTTTCTGTTTTGAAAACCGTTGTCGTGAGGGTAATGAACACAGGAGAGGCCAGACCCATGGTCCCTACTGTGTGGTAAGTGTTCAGTAAATGGCACCTGTTGGGATTGCTTGTGGTGTTGTCACCATACCAAGAGACAAGCAGCGGGGCTAGAAAGGATGTGCTGGGTGACCCGGTCCCCATGTTGACGGCTCCCATCACACATGCCTCCCCTAGTGCTGGGTTCTCCGGTCTGGCTCCCGCAGGAGACTAGGGGTACCTTGAGTCTTGAGTTGGGTTTTCCCTCCCTCTTTATGTGCCCCCAGAGTCTGGCTCAGTGCCTGGTCCACAGCAGGCGCTCCGTATTCTGTGTTGAGTAAATCAATTAACGAATAAGAGAAGCTCTCTGTTAACAAGTAAAATGTCTTTTTTTAGAATTTACATAATAATATTCAGTTAAAAAAAACTATCAGAAAGTGTTTCACTTATAAAACTCCCTTAGATAAGGCAAATGAGTGACTGCCAATCAAATGTCGGATACCTCTACATTCAGTTTGTTGCTAGGACACAAAGACAATACTTTGCACCCTGAAAAAAATTGCAGACTAGTTGGATGTACAAAACAAACCTGCAGAAAGACACAGTGTACGAAATCAGCACCTTTCTGTGCATTATCTCATACACGTGATAAACTTTTTTTAATCAAGTAAAAAATTACTTTTATCAAGTAAAAAATATTGATAAAAAATATTTGATAAAAAATATTACAGAAGATACTCTTAAGATAGTAGGTGGTGATTTGCCAGTGAGTCAGAGAGACAATTAGTATTTGCAGATGAGGGAAGACTCCCAGATTCTGGTACATGTAGTAAAATTCACATAGGAAGGAGATTGAAAAGAAAGAAGACTTCCTGTAGGTTTTGAATGTACCAAGGAAGTTCTAAAGATGACAGAGTGGACACGTAGTGCTTAGACTGCGAGAAGAGAGGGGTCGAAGAGATGCTAAGACAAGGGGGATACTTTCGTTAGATGGAGTGTGGGACAGTGTCCTCCACGAAGTGTGGTCAGGGCAGCCCCCCGACTCTGGAGGCTCCTGGCACATGCAGCCTTCGGACCAGGAGGCTGAAAAGTCCCAACCCCCCTGGTAGATTGGAAATGATAAAAATGGGTGAGAAATGGTGAAATAAGGAAAAGTTTAGGAAGAGTAACTAAGGCAGAATGGTGGGGCATTTCAAAAGCGTAACTGTGAAAACTCACTGGGGAGACAAACGTAAAAAGAATGTGACTTTTTTTTTTTTTAAGGAGGGGACACAGTTTAAAATGCAAGGGAAAGAGTGAGTCTCCAGTGGAAAATGTATCCAGATAATAGTGTTCAAGGAACTATACGATGTTTAAAAAAATAGTACCTGAGGAGCTGGTGGAGCTTTGAAGGACACCCCCCCAAAAAAGATCAGTGCCACAGTCCTCCAGCTGGTGAAAGTTTTGACTCTTTGCCTCAACACTCAGTTGACTTTGGTGGTGGGGACTTGACCGAGCTGGGGAACAGAAATCTTTACTAGCCGTGAAGAGTCCATTGATATGTAGAGGAAAGAATGGATTTTCGTGTCAGAAGACGAACCTGAGTGGGAATATAGAAAGCAGTGTTGTTGCACTAAGTGATAACTGGAAAGATTCCCTTTTTACACCATCACTGCCTACTGTGCAGACACCTTGCCTTCACGTCGTGTTATCAAAAACAAACTGAAACTTGGTGTTATTAATCATGGGTTTCGCTAAGTCGCAACTGCCTGTTTCCATGTTGGCTCAGCTTGATGGACAAAAATGTGGCATTAAACCTTACTCTTTATGATCCTGAAATTATTACATCATTTCTTCTGTTCCTTCTGGAAAAGGCACAAGAAGCTGGCAGGCTTTTCCAGCTGATAAAATTAAACTTCACTTCATTAGTCATTACAAAACTATGCACAAGAAAGGGAGAGTGATGTAAAACAAAAACATTAAATCTTTTTAATGTGGCAGGAGAGAGTGCCGTATGCAGATAGCACTGAAGGAACGGTGGTCTCCTTTATGAAAGTATTACCTACTGGGAAATCAGGCAGAGAAGCCCTGTCGAGAAACACAGTTGGGTCCAAAAACCACCACAAAAAGATTGTTATTGGAATCTAACATGGGTTTATTACCTCATGTCAAGCCAAATTCAGATTATAAATATCTCATCAGTGGAAAAGGAAGCTAGCCGATGGTTCTATTTTTGAGGGTTTTTTTATATTTTGTTTGAAACTAATTAGTAAAATGGAAAGAAATTCTTTCCATAATTACATTCCCTGGGTTTAAAATAATTTTAAGTTTCAAGAATGCACTCTACTTAAAAAAAAAAAAAAAAGGTCCCTTTGAATAGTAACTGTTTATTTTAGTCCCAAACTACCGCATAAATGAAATCTACTGGGGCAGACTTTTCAGGACCCCCTCCCGAAAAAGCACCTTGGGTGCTTCAATTTTAAGTGGATGTTTGATAAATCAATTTGAAGGAACCAGAAAAAAGGAGGAACATATCTAATGTCATAGCACAGATGCATCAGAAGATATGGCTCTATTGAGAGGAGTCCTGTACATCCAGGTGTGCCGAGCCACCTGGCAGAATGCAGTCAGGGATGTGATGGACAGCTATGTGTCCACATTAGAGTCAGATCAAAACAACCACGACTCGGGTTGTTTGTGTGGCTTTTATTTTCATTTTTGTGAAAATACAGAGTTCGCTTTAGAGTATATTTTATTCCATGTAATTGCAGAATTTGTGTATGGGTATGAGAGTGTACCTGGGAAAGTTCCTTTGAAGGTGGGTGAGCGTGTTTGCTCTGTAGTGATGTAAATATCACCTAAAATTATTCAGAAGCACCACGATATGCAAGTACCATTTAAAACTTAACCAACCAGAGGCGATCTGTCATTTCCTTCCTGGGATGTCCTGTCTCTGTGTGCCGCGCCCTCCTCCCCCCGCCATTTCTGCTCCTGAAACAGCCTTCCTCTGTTTCTGCCTGGGCACATGTGGTTTTGCTCCCAGTGTCCTGGACCACGTGGCACTCTGCTGAGTGGTCTCACTGGGGACTTGTCTTCTACAGCTTATAGCACAGGCATTTGGGCCCCTCCCTATCTCCTTTTCCCAATGGCAGCCTCTTTGAAGGGAAGGGCTATGTCTTATTCAGACCTGTATGTCCTCCATGCTTAGCGTAGCTCCTCATGCGTAATTGACAATAAATACTTACCCAGTGGGTAACACTCCTCTCCTGTATTGCAGGGAACCTAGGAGGAAGACCCCTGCTCCATTCAGTAAGAGGAGCCAGCGAGATTCATTCCGGACAGCAGAACGGAAGAGAGGACCTTGATGGCTTTCCCACCGCAGTTTTTAAAGCATTTGTGAATACTGGGGAAGGAATCTGTCCTGATTCTGATGCAGCTGAGAAAAATGCAGACCATCAAGAAGGAGCAGGCATCCCTGGATGCTAGCAGCGGTGTGGACAAGATGATGGTGCTGAACTCCGCGTTGAGTGAGGTCTCGGAAGACTTGACAGGGGGTGAAGAGCTGCTTCTGAATGAAGGCAGCGTGGGGAAGAGCAAATCTTCCGCGTGTCGGAGAAAACGGGAATTCATTCCCGATGAGAAGAAGGATGCCATGTATTGGGAAAAGAGGCGGAAAAATAACGAAGCTGCAAAGAGGTCTCGGGAGAAACGTCGACTGAATGACCTGGTTTTGGAGAACAAACTGATTGCCCTGGGAGAAGAAAACGCCACTTTAAAAGCTGAGCTGCTCTCCCTAAAATTAAAGTTTGGTTTAATTAGCTCCACAGCCTATGCCCAAGAGATTCAGAAACTCAGTCACTCTACCGCTGTGTACTTCCAAGACTACCAGGCGTCCAAGTCCAGCACCGGCCCCTTTGTGGATGAGCACGAGCCCTCGATGGTGACGAGCGGCTGCATTTCTGTCATCAAGCACTCCCCACAGGCCTCCCTGTCCGACGTTTCTGAAGTGTCCTCGCTGGAACATTCGCAGGACGGGGCTGTGCGGGGTGGCTGTGGGAGCCCCGAGAGCAAGTTCCAGGCCATCAAGCAAGAGCCCGTGGAACTGGAGAGCTACTCGAGGGAGCCTGGTGATGAGCGGGGCGCCTACCGGGCCTCTGTATATCAGAACCTCATGGGGACCACGTTCCCCAGCTATTCCCACTCTCCCCCTCTGCTGCAGGTCGCCCGGTCCTCCAGCAACTCCCCCAGGACGTCGGAGACAGATGACGGCGCGGTGGGGAAGTCATCCGACGGAGAAGATGAGCAGCAGGTTCCCAAGGGCCCCATCCATTCTCCCGTGGAGCTTCAGCGCGGCCATGCCACCGTGGTGAAGGTTCCAGAAGTGAACTCCTCCGCCTTGCCGCACAAGCTCCGCATTAAAGCCAAAGCCATGCAGATCAAAGTAGAAGCGTTCGATCACGAGTTTGACGCCGCACCGAAACCGGCCTCGCCTATGGACGGGACGCCCAAGAGACATTTCGAACTCGAGAAGCATACTGCCCCAAGTATGGTACATTCTGCCCTCACCCCTTTTTCAGTGCAGGTGACTAATATTCAAGATTGGTCTCTCAAATCGGAACACTGGCATCAAAAAGAACTTAATGGCAAAACTCAGAATAGCTTCAAAACTGGAGTTGTGGAAATGCAAGACAGTGGCTACAAAGTGTCTGACCCAGAGAATTTGTTTCTGAAGCAGGGGATAGCAAACTTATCTGCAGAGGTGGTTTCACTGAAGAGACTCATAGCCACACACCAAATCTCTGCTTCGGACTCTGGGTGAATTACTACTGAAAAGCTCTGGGTCTTTAGAAAGCCGTCATTTGCAATAGATGAGTACGTTTTGTATTAGGCTGAATTTTCACTGGACCCGTGATGTCATTCCACTGTAATGTTCACACATTGTCTGCTGGGTGTCTTTTTGTGCACAAATTATTATGGAAATTAGATTGTGTTATCAACTCTGCCTTCTGTATAGTAAAATAGTCCATACAAAGCCTGTATATATTGAACATTATTTTTGTTGTTCTATTATAAAGCGTGTCAGTTACCAGTTTCAATAAAGGATTGGTGACAAACACAGACTTCTGCTCCATTGCACTTGATTTTATGGGGAAAAAAAAGCAATTTGAGTTCTAAAAGTGGATATTAAAATATTCCATGTTTTACTCATTCGGGGGAGTTTTCTCCCCTGCGTTAGGGAAAGCCAAAATGTAAGTTCAGCACATAATTTGTTTTTCTTCTAGTTTGGCCCGGGCTATAGTAAGTTTGGAAACTTTACAAAGAGAGGGCAAAAAAAAAAAAAAAATAACAATGACTTTTCTTGCATTTGAGACTAATTTACTAAATTACTCCCCATTATCTATTATTTTTCTTTAAGCTTAACTTTTCTGTGGTTTTGTTTTTGTTGTTGTTGTTTTAAGTAGAAAAATCCAAGTTGTCTGGCATCAGCCTCTCTTGGGTCATCTCTTTTTTGAGTATGACACATTCATGTGGATGCTTGAGTCACTGACCCACTTTATTAATTAGAGGTTCTTTTAAAAAAGAGTGTCTAAAGACTAAGGATGAAATCACTTTCATGTTATTCTAAATCTTAACAGTTCTTGACTATAACCATCTAGGGAATTAAGCTAGTGAAATTCCATTTTTATTTAATTTCCAAAATTTCAAGAACACATCAGCTATCCCATTCCAGCATGTATAGTCTTGAGTATGCATCATGACTTGTTATTTTCCACTTGGCCAGTGATGAATATAAATGGTAGCTCAATAGTAGAAACTATAATGCAGAAGCCCACAATAAAGCGTCATTCTAAGTCACTTAACGCTAAGACGGTTACTGATGATTCGTCCAGCCTCCGCAGTTGCCTGTACAAGTAGGTGTGGTGGGACCAAATGTCTCCTGTTGCAGGGTGGGACTGGCTCCCGGGTGGGGTGAGAGGGGCAGGCAGATGCTGGTTGAGCCCAGCCTTCTCCAAAGCTACTGTCCTCACGAAGGCCCTCTCCAGATCCAGCTCTTTCCCGCTGACCTCCCTCCTGTTCTGCAGAGTGTGGAGGGGCTTTAGGCGCACGGGACATATGCGGACTTAACCCTCACTCTGCTCACTGCCCCTATGTCATGATGCCCCCCAGGAGGGGCCTGATTGTAACACCCCATTTACAGGGCTGCGGTCTTTTTGGCTGACCAGTTTGAACAAAAGCTTACTCCTTTATATTTTTAAAAGTGGCCCTTTGAGTTAAAGGGCCACATACATGCTCCCTACTCTGTCCTTTTGGTCACGGCGACCTTTTGGTCAGTTTTCTCTCTGAAATTTCCTGGCTTGTAGAGAAATGTGGTTTCCTCTCAGCCCTTGGCCTTCTCTCTTCATATTTTATCAGTGACTGGGTGAGGCCCAGAGGCAAACCCATCTCATTTCAAATGTTACAAAACATAGGAGGACTAAAATATTGCCTGGGGGTCAGGATCCCCCCATGTAATAGAATGGGTGAAATGAACCCAACCTGGATATAGTAGGGATACCATGTAAAGTCAGATTCCTATATTAAATGGGAAAAAAAAAATGCCATCCAAGTTCACAACTGGGAGAAAAAGAATACGGTAAGTACATGGGGAGGGGGTGGGGCTCCAGTTTCCTCCTGCTTGCTAGGAGTCAGCTCCCAGTAGATGTTGGTTGTGTCCATACAGAGTCCAAACACGAAGACACCTGTCCTGTTGCACAGGGTGGACAAGTTGAGGTACAAGAGGAAACGCTCCAAAGGAACTTAGCAGACGTGTCATATCTCACAGCCATGAACTAGAAGATATTAAGAAAACTGACAAATTGCCCCGAAAAGAGGTGAACCATTTATACTGTGTGGTGCTGGAAGGGAGAATAAGAACAGGTAGATGAGAGAAAGAAAGGTAAATCTGGGGCGCCTGGCTGGCTCAGTCAGAAAAGCTTGCGACTCTTGGTCTCCGGGTCACGAGTTCAAGCCCCATGATGGCGGTAGAGAGCACTTAAATAAATAAACTTAAAAAATATGTATTTAAAAAGAAAGGTCAGTCTGAGTTATTTTAAGGAAGAAGCAGGCATCTGTCAGAGCAGTGCGGGAGCGAAGCGGCCTGCCTGAGGCCCCAGAACTTCCACAGAAATTGCTAGTGAGAGCCGTCGGGGTGAATATTTGCATTTAAACATGATTGGATGCCGTTTTCCTCCATCATCTTGCCTTATAATTTCAGGGATCTAAGATACAGTTGGAATGATGTGTAGAATGTTACTCCTTAAAAATAAAAGAGTGGCATAAACAAGCAGTTCCACACTCACCAGGATCAAAGAACCATCGTGTAAATACACTGACACTTCCGTCATCGTGTGCAGGGAAACATGACCACCTCTCCCTCCCGCTCACAGAGCTCCTCAAAATCATATAAGATGCCCATATGCCAAATAAATCTGCAGCTGTACCCAACAAATAAGAATGAGAAGGCTCAGAACAGCACAATTCCCAAGCATTCCCAGGAAGATGGCGCTCAGGTAGGGCCTGATGGGGAGGAAGCTGTGAAAGCCCGGAGCCCCCACCACAGCCCCAGGCACCGCAGAGGGAGGGGAGCCCGCTGACCAGCCGTGGGGTTCGTGGGGACACGGCCGCAGGAGCAGACCTGCCCAGGAGGAGGGCCCACAGGCAGGGCATCGCCTGGCGGTGATGGCAGGTGCATGTGTCCCCAAAGGGGCCCACCTAGTGGCACGTCACCCTCCCCTAACATGTGCAACAGTATCTCATTAGTCCCCACGCCCATCTTAGGAAGGAGAAGACGGAGACTCTCAGCGGCCAGCGCCGGGCCGCCTGCTACCAGGCAGGGGGGACCGTAAGCCCCACGTGGCACTTCAGTCCGTACCTAGGGGCAGCCCCACAAGATGGGCGGGAGCGTCTCTGAGCTGCAGGAGCAAAGCCGGGAATCTGAGAATGGTCCAGCTTGTTAAGTGGCTTTTGTCTGTGGATGAGGAAGGCTGCTGCGGAAACATCTCCTCTTCTGTTGGATAACTGTCAGGGGAGAACTATTTTACTTTTCTTCAAGGGTCAACTCTTCCCACAGAAAAGCAGCTAACACCTGTGTGGCTTTCCCACACGCATGTCCACATGCATGTCCACACTCACGTTCACGTGCATGTTCACATACATGAACTCTTCAGAAGTCCAGTCACCTTCTTGGCACACAGTTATTATCCATCACAAACTTCTTTTAAAATCGTGTTAAGTCAAAAAAAAAAAAAAAACCACTGGTAGCTATTAAACTTATTTTTAAAAACTAGAAATTATCCCTCAGAAGTGAGAATCACTGGCAGCACCCTCTTGGTTTTTCATGTGATTTTTGGGGCAGGGATTGGGGGCTGTTGAGGAAGTAGTACAATTGTTGGAGTGATTTGAACAGGGTCCCCCAAGCTACGTGCACCAGGAAAACTTAAATAGGAAAAACTTGCCAGGGATGTGAGATCTGGGGACTCAACATGCCCAGGAGGCCGGAGAGATAAGAGAAAATTCACGATTATGAAGTGTAGTGAATGGGTATGTCTTCCGGGCAGGTGAGGTGAGATAGGACGTGTTTGAAGGCATTGGCCGTATTTTCCATGGAGCTAGCTTGTACTGATCTGAACAGACACGAGGAAGAGGTCAACCAGACGGAGAACTAGTGGAGCTAAGCGGTAGAAATCCAGGCAAGGGAGAGCAAGCACTTACCGCTGCTGTGTCATCGTGCTAGGGGCCACCAAGGAGTGATTGTGTTGTTGAGCGGATACACTAAATACGCTAAGTAGCCCACTGCCATGTCTGCTCTCTCTGATCTGTCAGTCTTCCCCCCCCTTGAGAAGGAAAAAGTTACTGTGGGGAAAGTGCTTGACTAAAGTCCAAGGTTCTGGGGGGTCCAGAGCAAGGCCCCTTTGGAAATGCACAGGGATGAAACCCTGAGGCTGGGGGAGAGGGGACAGCAAGTCTTATGGCTGGGGGCACAGTAAAGGAGATGAGGAAGGAGCAGCCCCCAAATGGACCCCCCCTAAAGTAAGCAGATGGTTCAGTGTAACCAGGTTAAAAGTCTAACAGCAGTGCCTGATTTCCCGTGAGACAGGGAACTTTCTCTTTGAGAAAATAACTTCTGGTTTGCTGCTGGGGTCCCAGGAGGGCCCTAAAAACAGTGGCGGCACAGGTCCAGGACCCCGAGAGAAAGAGGTAGGTGCTTTGCAGAGAAGGTGCAAGGAGATGGGGGTGGCAGCTTGGGGCACCGCTTTTGACAGGAAGGGGGTAGGGAATAAAGAGAAGGGAAGGAGGGGCTGGAGGCCCACGAAGGTCACTGATGAACATACGGTAGAAACACTTCTCCATGTCTTCCTCAAAACGACAGTAAGCCCTACAGGCTCTCTAGTGCTTTGTGCGAGTGTTTGATTGTTCGCCAACTTTACATTTGGCGCAGCGTTCTACACAGCAAGGCAGCTCACCTGGGGGCAGGCACCAAAGGGGATGCTGAAGGTTGATGCCCCAGAAACCTGAAGAATCTGGAAGGGGTTCTGGACCTTGACCACCCAGGCAGCTGAGGCTCGGAGGCCACCTTCTCTGGGCCTGGGGGTTAGGGAGGCTCCTCCAATCCTCAATAAATACGAAATGCCTATGGGTACCCAGTTTTGTGCTGCATGCTGTGGGGGAAACAGAACATAAAGATACAGTATCTCCTTTTGAGTTTTGAATTTGCTTGAGGAGGAAAGACTAAAACTCTGAACATGGTAACAGCCCATAGGCACCAGGGAGAGGTAGAACGTGTGGGAAAGAGCAGGCTAAGAGAAAAGCTCGGAACACATACAGCAGTCATGGTGCAGACCTGAGGGGCATCTCAGCAAGAGAAGCTGGCTGGAGGCGGGAGAGAGCTCAGCCAACAGCAAGAGCAGAGGGCAGTGATCTTCCGCCACGGGGGAAGCACGAAGGTATGCTGCATCCCCAGAGAAGTGAATTCCTTTAGAGGATTGCTCAGACAAAATTCAAAAGGAAATATAGACCCAGTTGCCAAAGGACCTCGAATCCCAGGCTGTAGAAATTGCCTGGAATCACTTGGGGAGTGGCT